GATAACAGTTGTAACAGCAGCAATAATAGTACAAAATCTTATCATCTAACCGCATTTCTTTCGAACTCAACCACCTCTCGTAATTTTCTCTCTTACTCTCTCTCTCTCATTCTCTCCCTCTCTCTCTTCCTTCTCCCTCTTTCTCTTTCAGAATAATCAAATGGGGAAAAATGTGTTGCAAAAGTGCATAACTAATCTTAATTTGCCGCCGTCGATCCTCGTCATGCTATTGTCGACGGTGAAAGCCGCAGGAAGAGGGAAACGCTCATAGAAAAAAATGGTTCTCTAATATGCACACTTTCTACGAGATAAGGCCAAACGCGTCTTTAGCATCGGCCAATATCTCGGCGGATGAAACAACGTCGGACGTGTGCGTTATGCGAGACAGACGCTGTTAATTGTCTCGGCCGATATTCAGTATTTATGGATGATATTTAGGTCGTCCATATCGTCATTATCGAGCCGTCGTGATCTATGCTGCGGCGCGTAGTTTAGTTTCACTTAAATTGCTTCGCGCGTCGCTGCATCATCGCACGAACACGACCTGTTGTCCTCTTAGCCGATTACTCGTACACGTGTAATGGACGACGATAGATAGACCCCTCGAGAGTTGAATATAAAGAAATATCGTTCTAGTACTAAGAAAACTTATTACTCAACTTGCTTTTCTTCTTTGCAATGGCTTCAAGAATGTCTTTGATAAAGATATTCTTCAACAAAAAACATTTTCTTGACAAAATGGCCTTTAAATAAAGTACACTTGCAATAAAATATACTCATCGCGGATTGATTTTTTATTCTGATTATCCTGATAATCCTGATAATCCTTATAAAATAAAATACGCTCATAATAAAATACTCATCAAATTCCAGGAAAGTTCATTATTATGTGTCCAAGTAGGAATTTAATATTGGCATCAAAGTGGTCCAATACCGATTTATGGTAAACGTTACTGGCATAATACCAGATGCCAGTATGGATTTAGTATTGGTGTGGTACTGGGATGATAGAAAAGGGCTAGTATCGAAAAACAGTACCGTTACAGTACCGAAAATCAGTATTGTTCCAGTATAAAAAAGTGTTGATTCCTAACACTGGAAAAGTACTTATATATATACTGGGTCAGTATCGATTCCTAGTAATTTTTATTATTTGTACAATTGTTAATATCACAACTATATAGTACGGAAAGAAAGATCAGACCATGGTCGGACTGCTCTCATTTGTACTTATACATGTCTATTTTCTAATAGTCATATGAGGAAAAAATTTTCGGGGCGACGTTGAAATCGAACTCGAGTCTTCCGCTTGTCAAAGCAAGCGTTTTTACCACTGAGCTATCTAGATTTCGCGTTAGTGATCTCTTCCGTTTTCCCATAAAAGGCATTGGTATTGTCCGTTTTTCGGTACCGACACAATATTGGCCCAATATCCTCTATTGGCAAATTGTATACGATTCTTGGGTAACCAGTATTGATTCTATGAACAGGGCCAGTACCAATAATACAGCTTTTTTAATACTGGGCTAGTACCGAAAACGACAAACACTTTTCGGTAACGCTCCAGTACACGTACGATTATCCAGTACCTAACCTTAGTACGGAGCCAGTACAAATAATACAGCTTTTTTTATATTAGGTCCAGTATTGAACTATCAAATCCGGACATCCGCTTTTCGGTATCGATCCAGTATCGGGCCATTTTTCCGTACTGGCGAAACGTATACAATTCTTACTTGGGTGTTTAAAAGAGGAATTTGCGCTGCTTACGAGAATATTATAAAACTTCATTGAACAAAATATTTGTGAGCACACAAACTGCATTTTTGTTTTAATTTAATATTATCGATTGAAATGCCAAACTTACTAGAATTCAGAATGTCTTTTGGAAAAGTTTGATGCCTGTGATAGATTTGCGAATACATAAACTTACGTAATACTTGAAGCACGTAATGTCTGCTTGTGAATGCGGTAGGTATCTTTCTGTGCGCACCTTTCGCAACATTGTTTCGTTGTGCCATTACGAACGTGTTATTTCATTGAGGATACGTAGGGAAGTCGCGTTACATAACACGGAAATCTACAATTTTCCTTTAAGAGAACCAACATAATTATAAAGGACGGGAAGGGTCGAGCACTGTTTACATCCTATTCATTTTCACCCTCTTTGGAGTTTCCACTCTATAATTACGGCATTAAGGGAGCAAAGCCGAGAAAATTGTGAAACAGACAGACATTTTATGCACAGTGCAGAACTGTGTGTGTGAACAGATAATGGTGTTACGATAATATTAAAGTGGCTTATCGTCAATCGTATGGGAAGAATCTCACGGGCACAATGTACCGTGACTATACGCCACCCCTTTGCGTACCAGCTTTGTTACTTATTTATTTATCCTTTGTTGTTTATTTACCCTTTTAATCGTCTAATTAACTTTCGTCAGTCAGGCGGAGCGACTCGTAAAATTACTGTAAGCCACGGTGAAACGATTTGCAACCTTGAGCGAAAACCACTTTGATGTTGCGTATAAGCAAGTAATTAACAAGCTTTACTCTCGATGTTTACGGTACACTTCAATCGATTATTTTCCTAGATTCTGGCTAATCCCCCCGAGACTGTTTTTCGCAATGGGGCTGGGTTAATTGCATTTAAATGATCCAATTTGTGGTGCACACCCAAATCGCTCTACACACATTCGGATACTTCGGTAATTGCTCTCTCAAAATAGCGCGGGCATATAACGAGTGTTCACGGTCGATCTTCCAAAATAAAACTTATTTTTACTCCCACAACAACACTGCAAATCCGAGTGTGTCACTGTTAAACGCACAAGCGTGTAATTAGGCTCTTTTTACACGTTTTTTGCGGTTTTGAATCACGTCTTTAACATGTGTGCGATTTGAGACGTGTAAATTATAATTTAATACATTGAAAGAGCTCAAAGTGGGGCAAGGGACGTGTAAAGGGACGTGTAAAGGCAGCCAAAATAACACACCCAGATTTGTAGTGAACGAAAGGTGAGTAATCGAGACAGGTGACTCACCGTAGTTACTTCCTTCTACTCCTTGATTGCCACCGCTTTCGAAGAGTCTCTCAGATCGATTTCGACGTGCCGATCGAAGGCGTTTTGCGCCTTTCATTCGTCACGCGATGTCAATGAACCTTTTTACCTTCAATCGCGAGATGCCGGGAGGAGAGGGGAAGCAGGGCGAGCAAAGGCCGCGGGAGAGCCAGAGAGGTGAGCAGAGCGCAATCGTAATTTCATACCCGTCACGTCCACGATTGGTCAGACCACTCGATACCGGCCTCGGGAATGTCAACCGTTCGAGTACCGTTTGTCTCGACGATCGGCGGTGGAACTCGTCGGTTCCTTTTCTTGCCAGGCGAGCTGCCACGCTGGCTGATACACCCTTTCTCGAGAAGGAGAACGCAGAGCAGATCACCTGACTGGGCAGGGTCACGCCGCGGCTTGCCTCGACGCTTTTCTCGATCGCTCGGACGCGCAGCGTGACATCCGGACGGATGTCGGGAGGAATCTGTCCAACTTTTACTTTCTCATTAAAAAATCGTTGCCCGTCTTGCAACTGTTGCGTGATCTCCTCGCCCACTTTGTCAGTGAATCTTTTTGTGAATTCTTTGTCACGATGTCGTACATCTTAAAGTCACGTAAGTTGATCGATTTTCGTGCAAGGTGGACCTTGCGCGTTTGCCGCGCAGTCAACTTGATTCGTTCAGACCAACCAGAACCAGACTACTCACGGCAGGGTAGACTCGCGACGCGGAAGGGTTGCGGTATTTCCCGCTGTACTGATACAAAGGGTCATTCGGTGTATCTTCAGCATCGTGCGAATTCAGCAGTCCTTCCGGAATGGCGGCGCTTACGCGTGCGCGCGTCTTTCCCTTGGTAGGGCCGCATGATGTGCGCATCAGCGCGATACCGTAAAGTACCTTTTCAGAGTACCGTTCGAGCACGAAATTATTTCATCTGTGTCCCGATCAGACGCGCGAGATCTTTCTCACGTGAGCGCGGCAGGGTTAATTACGCCCTAATGATGATGTGATTATACATTTTTGCCCGGTTGCAATCAGGAAGTGGCCACTGTGTGCAATTAACATCGCGCACAGTCTTTCTGTTCGCCGCATTACTCTCCGTTTTCCACACTGTGCTTCCACCTTTTAGCCCTTTAGGCGACCCTTTTATTTTCCGCACGCCAACTTCGAGCCACGCGGCGCTTTGTGAATAGCGGCAAACGTTTACGCGATTTCGCGAAAAGCGGTTCGTTGACCTTTCGCGCAGTTATTATACGCTGCGAGAGAATACCTCGAGCATGAAGAATATACCTTATACGACCGCAGTCCTAATGGCCCTCACTTCAGTGGTTTACCGTTTTAATATTCGCGTTAAGTACCAGCATGTGCATTATATTTGGGTTTATCGCCCTCACGCGTAAGGTGTGCAATATAGACGTCTATAAAAAAAGTCGTTTCTCCTCGTAACGCCTGATTATTGAAATCGCCAAGGGGG